ATGCATACATGTCAGATGTCCAGTTGTATTTTGTGGATCGTATTTTCTTTTATTTTTGTTATCAATTTGTGCTCTGTTTTCTGCACTGAAGTGGTTAAATGTCTTTGAGTGGATTTGGGTTGGGTGGGGAGGGGGTTTGGACGTGGAAATCTTGATTGAACCTTGTGAACACTGAAAAGCGGCAAATAAAGTGTTCTGTTCATTCATTCAATATATTTCAATTTAATATGGATATTTGGGTAATTGAATACTGATACCTCTGTACAGTACATATAAATGTAGGCATTCTCTGTAAAAATAACATTCGAGTGAAAAAGAGAGAAGGAAGTCCCTCTATGCTGGAGGTTATTTTTTAAAATCAGCTAAATGGATGGTAAATTGGTGAGAGAATTGCTCAAGACCTTTTCTTTCATCAATTTTAGGGTTGGAAAGATCTGTTTCTTGTAATTCGGCCTAAAATGTATTTGCAATTTTATCAGAAAATGTCCCAATGACAAGTCAGTGTCCTCATATGTTGGGTCTTTTTTTATTAATTTTTTATGGGAAAATAAGGGTCCCTATGTTGAATTGTCCGCATGTGGAAGTCTCACTGTATATGAAGGAAATTAACTACATCATATCATAGAAAGAAAATTCGAATCAGCATCTCGATTTTCAACAATCGATGGATCTCAATGCGCGAAAAAATTATAATTATAAAGGGTGCCAAAGACAGACACACACACACACACACACACACACAAAATATCACCTTGATTGATCCCAAGTTTCCGTTTCAAGTGATCTCTTCCGTTGTACACTTTGTCCGAGTCGGGATTATCCCCCGGGCTAGAGGTTAATGCATACGACTCCCGCATGAACACAGATAATGTGTAGTCCAGGTTGAAGAACTCTAAAAATTCCCAAACCAGGGAAACGCACTGACGGCCATAGTCAGTGTTTAAAAAGTTCTTCATCTGATGATTCATCAGCGGCTGGTTCACCAGAGCATCTTCCTTTTCGTCCAACGCCAGAAATACGGATGCTCTCAACTGGGCCTTCAAATAATAATTAAAAAAGTAAAGAATCAAAGAATTCGAAATAAAAAAAATTATACGAGGCGTTCGTCAAACGTCTTGCGAGTCACTGACAATCTCTGAATGCAGCAGGATGAATAAACCGCGAGGAAAATTTTCAGCATTGATTTTCAAAATATAATTATAATCTTCACACGCAAAAATAACGATAGGATAAGATAAACCGTAATCTTTCGAGCATACCTTCATATAAATCCACGGGAATTATCGATAAGTTTTTGACACGCTTAAATTTGTATTTCTCGATGATGTTCCTAATTGACTTTGATTTGCAGAAAAGTTTTAAAATTCGCACAGCCACAGTTTCAACGATTCTCAGCCTTACGCTCGATCCTGTAAAATTCCTTCTAATACATGGAAATGCTTTATAAATTGATTCGTTCATATAATTTTTAAAACTTTGCACGAAGGAGTTAGTTATTCATGCAAGGAATACGGTCGGACTGGAGAGAAACAAGGGGTTGACAGGGATTCGCAAGACCTGGGCCGCCGAACCATTCGCAAAAATTTCAGCGACTCACCCTGATTTTAGCGAGAGTGCCATTTCTTTCGAGAAGATTAGCCACCATATCACGAAGTTCGCTGTCGTCATCAGTCACTAGATTATCACCAGACATGTTCCTCAAAAAACCGAAATGAGTTTTGATAGGATGCTTTGGCTCCTTGTTTACAATAATTTTATGTCAGTGCCTGTGTGAAAGTTGTCCTTTTATTTACTACTAGTGCTTTTAGGAGTGTAACTTGTCCGTAGTGCTAAATTGCACAAAATATTTGCACAGAACAACCACGCACATCTCATCGCTGCCAGCAATTTTTTTTCCTTCCTTTCCGAAATTTGTGCCACTATTGGCAGACTTTTTTCGACACCGATCGAATCTTGGCCGCAAAAAAAAAAAAAAATTCCGCACACGATGAAAACATGAAAATTCAGAAAAAATTGTTTTTTCACTCGACGATAAATCCGGTCAGCTCCGGCAGTGGACATCAAACGACATTTTCGTTTCTCACAAAAAAAACGAACAGTCTTTTTCTTTCTCATTTTGTTTTCAACCCGCGTTATATACGAAATCACAACCCTCTCTCTTTCTCCTTCCCTGACTTCCCTAGAACCGAAACTCGAAGAGGCAAGCTCTTTTGGGCGGAGAAGTATTTCGTTTATTGAATTGAAATTCTTTTGTATGCAAATATTTTAAGTAGGGGCTTGCTCTAAAACAAATTTCGTATGGACTACAATGTGCGTTAAGTAGTACTCGGACTTTAGGCCAGTTGCGACCTGGTCTATTCGTAAGGAGTGTTCAAATAAAACCATTCTAAAAATGTGAATCCCTCTTTTTTCAATATTTTTCCAAAAAAAGTAATTCACGATATTTTAATGATAAAAAAAGAAAAAAAATGGAACAATTGTTAACTGCGCGGACTAGAGCAACATGCAACTGAGATTCCGCTTCAAATTCGGTAACTAAATTGCGGAGTGAATAATCACTTTCTTCACAAACGAAGCTTCTCCCCTCCTCCTAGAAAATGGAAATTTTCTTGCATTTCCCACCACTTCCAGTCAACCAAAAATATCGAAAGGTTCAGAAGACTTTCAGACAACTGATTCGATCATTTTTCGAAGCATATTGCATATAATTCACATTAAAGATATGAACTCTGGCGCAATTTGATACTTGACAATTAAGATTAGTAATACTTAATGAAATTCAATGGAAATCGACAATAGATTTTCTCAACATGTCTTCAAGAACGTCTCATCTCAATTGAATTCTTCAAGTTGGGCTCATCCATTTTTCAGAATATCTGACTACAGTAATATATTCGTCATGATAATTATAGTAATTCTGCCAAGAAATTCGCAGAAGTACAAGACAAGTCCTACAGAAAGTTGTCTAACTAAAGAAATAAATGCAACAGAGGTAATTTTTCGTGATCCAGAGGAAAACGGAAAGAATTTCAGAATTAAAATTCTTCACAGACGTTTCTTCCCAAAATTAGCCGCAAATTCCGACGAAGACACCGAGATAATTTTCCACCAACTACCCCAGATTGAATGTTCGTTTCGAATTCAACTGGAAATACCAGAAAT